GGGAGTGAGCCCGCCAGGTCCCCGCGGGCGGCAGGGCGAGCAGTGGGGGTGAGCGGCCTCCGCGGGGAGCGGGAGGAAGTGGGCAGTGCCGTTTCGCTTTGGTTCGTTAGTGAAATCGAGATTCCTTGACAGTGGTGGGACGTGACAGCATCTTCTCGATGTCAGCTAGCAATTTTCGTATGTTTTTTTACGTACTAGAAATCGGTGTCACTTTATTATCTAATCTTCGCAGCAGTCTTGTGAAATTGTAAGGGAATCATTCAGTAGCACATCCAACTTCAGCACAGTAGTACCGTAGTTCAGCGTTGTGAAGGAAATCAAAACCGATGCGTTTAAAAATCTTATACATCTCGGAGATGTTTGAAATACACAGGTAAATCGGTGTCATTCAAAGTAATATCGGTACAGGATTTTAAACTAAAGATAAATATAGTCTATACAATAATGAAGATAGTGCCCTTGGCATTTTTATAATATTATTTCATTCAAGGGGAAAGTTATGTATCAGTCAGTGATAAATTTGAGGTATGAGGAATTTTTAAGCCCGTTTGTATTCACGGTGTATGTTCACGTTTATGTAAAAAATAAGTTGCCTTTGTGTGTATATTCTGTTTTACTATAAAATTATACTAATGTCTTGGTGTATGGGTGGTATTTTATGGACTTATATTTAAGTTTAAAGTTGAGGGACCACTCGGGAGACTGAGACAGGAGGACTGCCGCGAGTTCGAGGCCAGCCTGGCCTACAAAATGAGCTCAAAGCCAGCCTGAACTGCATAGCGAGACCCTGTCTCAAAAAGACAAAAAATTAATAAAAAAAATAAGGTTGAGGGACCATGTGACCATTTATTGGAAGTCAGTGTGTCCATGTGTGAAATTGTGCAGTGTCTAAAAAAAATAAATAAATAAAAGATAAAAGGGGAGGCCAAGAAGCGCCCCTAGGAGTAAGTCTCAGGGATTCAGTGGCCAACAGTGGAAGATATAGCGGGATATTCCAATAAAATCGATAAATTCACATTAGCAATGTAGGTGTGTTTTTTGTTTTTGTTTTTGTCTTTTTGAGACAGGGTCTCACTGTGCAGTTCAGGCTGGCCTTTAACTCGGAGAGATCCTCCTGCCTCAGCCTTCTGGAGTGCTAGGATTACAGGCTTCACATTACATTACATCACATTACATTACACCATCACACCCGGCAGGAATTATTTTATAGAGTTAAATATGCCAAGTAAATGGAAGGTGAAGAAAATGGAGATAGAGAATAGAGGACAGCTAATAGAAAATTAGAGTGGGTGTGCCTGTAATCCCAGCACTTGGGAGACTGAGGCAGGAGGATTGTTGCGAATTAGAAGCCAGCCTGAACTGCATAGCAAGACCCTGTCTGAAGAAGACAAACAAAATAAAGAAAGAAAATTAGACTTGGTTAAAACAAAGTTTTATAGAATGGGAGAGTTTTGACCTTGTACATTGACTGAACATGGAATAAAGTTGAAGATATGAACAAATTCTTTATTATACAAAGCCAGGTGCTGGACCCATCATGCTTAAAAATCTGTATTCAGTAACCTGTCTTGGTGGTATAGCATAAATCCATGCTTTTTGACTTAGCTCATCTTCTCACAGACATTTTCTCTATAAAAACTGGATAAGATAGGATGTTTTAGTTTGTAAAAAAAAATTAAGCAGATGTTTAAAGGATATAATTGGTAATATGCATGTGTTAAACACTGGGGAAAGCACAACTTTACAAACAGTATTTTGTTTAGTTCATGCTTATGGGGAAACTAAAGCAGCTGTTAGTGGTAGTTCTTTAGTGAGGGTTAGCCCTAGTATGAAAAATGAAACCAGTAGTGTGCTGAACTGCATAGCAAGATGCTGTCTCAAAAAACAAACACCAAAAAAGAACTGGTAAGTAAGCCTACTAAAGGCTAAGGAAGAAAATGTTCATCTGCTACTTCTTTGCTTTTGAAAGTAGTGATTTTCAAATTTTGTTCATACTAGTAACATTGAATTTGATTTAGTTCTCATCCAGTTCGGTTTACAATTAGAATTGTGGGAAGAATCAAGTTCATGAACCAAGGTACCACTGTATATGGTTAAGATGTGACTCATTCTTGCTGCCTTTCCCCCAAAACGGATCACCATTATGATTATTTCATGCATCAGGCGTTTAAACATTTTACAGTTTGTGCCACTGTATGTTAAATGATGGAACAATACTGTATTCTGCATTTTTATCCTTTCAACTTCGTGTTCTTCTCCATGTACAGTACATTCTACTTCTAAACTCTTCTCAGCTTTTCATTCATTACTATCCTTAATTAAAACCTCTTCTGTAATTCATGGTTTACTTATGTATCAGGAACATACCGTAACAATTATGATGTAAGCTAGTGTATCTATATACCATGTAGTAGCTAACAAATAGTGGCTATTAATAGAGGGCAGAGAACTTTATCAGAGTTCTAAAAATCATTTTAAAACAGCACCAGTAATCAGAGGTTGTAAAAAGCAGAAAATCAAACAGACTAAAGGATTTAGAGGTAGCCTTATGAGAAAATTACAGAGGAATAGAACTGACCTGTTTTCTATAAGACCATAAAACTACATAATTAGGAAGTTTAAGTATTTCTACAAGATTTTAGAAAGGTACTACACGTTGCTAATTTTTTTTAAAAGGTAGTACACATTGCTAATTGTAACACTCATTTTTGTACGAGAGTGAAGTAAAACTTTTTGGTGTAATGGGAAGGGACAAGGGCTAAGGAATCTCATAAGTGTACACTGAAACTTGACGGTATTTTTATGAGAGGAGGGTTAAAGTATGGTCATATCCTTGGAGCATTAAGTTTTGATACTGAACAACTCTTAGTGCAAAAAATAGAGGAATGTGATAGTTTATTTTTTAACTATTCTGTATGTACTTTATAGTGGTCAGACTCAAACTAGAGTTTTAACTATTAATATAAGGCATTTTGTGCTGTGCATCAAACAAACATCAGGTAATTTTTAAGGAACAGTATTACCTGATGTTTGGAAAAAAAATGGTTAAGTCTTGCTTAAGACTTAACAATGAAGTCTTCCTTAGACCATGAAGGAAACAGCGATGTATATCTTTGTCTTCATTATAAAAAATGATGTTTTTCCTATTTTTGACCAGATGCTTGTACATACCATCCTGGCGTCCCAGTCTTTCATGATGCATTAAAGGTAGGAACTAGATATGTTTTTAGTTTCTTCATGTTTGTGTAGTAAATATAGAGATATATTAAATTTTTACTTTTTCATTTTTTCCCTCAGTTTGTGTGTGCTTTTCTAATGATCATTGAAGGGTGCTTTAAATATGTACACCACTAAAGGCAAGGGAAGCAATAGACTATGATATTTTCCACTTATAAAATAATTTTATTTCTAGTCCAAATCTTGTTCCTAATGATTTCTTCACTTCCTAGTGTTAAAATGAAATAGAAATAGTTGCATTGACTCTCATTCTTTCAGTCTGTCATTGTTGGCTAATGAACACAGTTCTGAGTTTTAGAAATGACTGTTATAAACAATGATGCCAGCGCTTGGGAAACTGAGGCAGGATGATTGCCAAGAGTTTGAGGCCAGCCTGGGCGACATAGACCCTTCTCAAATAAGTTAGAGAATGAACAGGGGACAAATAATTGTGCCAGCCTCAGGGCAAACTTGTTAAGTTTACAGTATTTTTACTGAAGAGACACGTTACCAGTTCTTCACCTGTATTTCCTTGATGTTCTGGAGAATTAGAGAAATAATAGAAGTTTTTTAATAACATGGTACGTTTGAACTTTGCATGTAATACTTGATTGTTTTTGTTTTTTGTCTTTTTGAGACAGGGGCTCGCTATGCAGTTTAGGCTGGCCTTGAGCTCACTTTGTAGCGCAGTCTGGTCTTGAACTCACGATGATCCTCCTGCCTCAGCCTCCTGAGTGCTGGGATTATAGGCGTGCACCACCACACCTGGCTTGCATATAATATTTGAAAATAATATATTGTAGTTAGTGCAGCTGCCATGATTTTAGGTACTGCTCCTTTTTTCTCAGGAATGTATACAGTCTTACTTGTGATTTCCTTTGACTTTTCTGATTATACCTTCAAGGGAGTAGTTGGGCTCTTGGCATTTAATGGATATGTGATCAAATCTAAACAAAGTTGTAGAGCAAATAACAAGCTTATTTTGCTTAGTTCTGAGTGAGGAAATCAACATTCAGTAGGACAGTTTGAGGTATGACTCCTTACGTCTTTTTTAGTTTACTCACAAACGTTTGTGGCTATGAGTACTGCAATTCTGAGAGATATTTATGTTTTTTGGAGAAATGTTCTTTTCCTGGGACCACTATTTATTGCTTTTGTGTGTGTGTGTGTGTACTACTTTTCTCCTGTGCCC